TTTTTTTTATTAATTTTGTACTTAAAATATTCTAAAAGAAACATAACAATATTGTTTTATGTACTTTCACTTTTCACGTATAGTATAACTACTCTTTAAGATTTAGTACTGTGTATCTCAAAAACCAGAGCTAATAAAGATTTTTCATTGTTATTTTCGTTTTTATCACCCCAAAATTAGTAGGAATTGACTAATTTAGTGTAGGAAACATTCAAAAAATATTTTTTGTTGTGTTGTGTAATTTTATTGTGTTATTTATACGTATTCCTTTTATATGTTTAACATTTTATTTTTATTGCAATGTTTCTCTTTATGTACTGTGACCTGCAATAAATGTATTTATACGTAACATGGTTGAATAAAACTCTATCTCTATCTCTATCATTTGAGGTAGATATGTGCTATAGCGGACTTTTATTCAGAACTATTCAAGATGAACAATCTTACGGTACATTATCTGCATGTAACTCCAACGGTATAGGCAGCGCACGCCAAGATATTTCTCAGGAAGCAACAATTTTTCCGACTTACTCGATACTTATCGTTGTATTATGACTTAAACTACACAAAACCTTTGTAAATTGTAGCCTTCATGTTATTCTGATGCACAAGCTGTATTTACGTAAAATTTCATCTAAATCCGTTCAGTCGTTTAGGCGTGAGCCACAAACATACATACATACATACATACATCCATCCTCAGGAACTTTACATTTATATTAGTATTCACATTGGAGTTTGAATTTATGATCAAAACGTTTTTATTCGCAGTCTCTTTTATCTGTTCATTGTATTTGTGAGTTTTATTTGATTTACATATTTTGAGTCATCCCAATAGAGTTAGGATCTAGTCACTATCATAATCATAATATCTAATTGGACCTGGTGATTTCTGGCAGAATCATAATTAAATGTTTGATTTCATCAGTTCAATTTGATCAGTACACTGACATGAATGTTGTGAATAATGCATTAGTAGGCCCTGAGAGTCACGTATGATTTAAGAATGATAACACCTGGAAAAGGAGCGTTTTATTGCCTGGCCTCAATTTTTTCCATCTTTCCATCTATTTGAAAGAAAAGAAACATTGAGTCACCAAAACCACTAACAAAAAAGACTTTTTCAAATTTTCAGTCTCCGAAATATGATAGCAAATATAATGGGATATATATTGTGGGAATCCCCCATAGAGGAACCCAGCTCTGGCGTTAAAGCGACAGTAGTGAATGACAATTGCTGACTCGTATAATTCCCACACAGTAACCATCTATTTGTTTTCATTCAAGTCGTCCATTGTGATATATTGGACATTCGCACAAAACCAATACTCAACAAATCCTCCCGAATCGGACTGACAGTTTGAGAGGATCATCCGTTGAATCCTCCTTCAATTCTCCATTTATAAATGGGTCTCTTTGGGGCAATTTCGGTCGATATTCACAAAACGAAAGCACATCAACGCGCATGAAAAATTCCGAGGCGTCTGAAATTTTTGTTCAAAGTATTGAAAAATGACAACCAACAAAATTATGGAATACTGTTCAACCAACAGTATTCTCTTTATATCCATTAGATTTGTAAAATATTACTTTTTTCCGTGTATGTTATAGTCAGCTGTTGTTGGGAAATGAAAAATGCTTTTGGAACTTCCTATATAGAATAGCCAATTTGGATTATATCCAACTGTCCAACGCCCTTCGTGGTATTAGCCAGGGTAGTTTATTTTTGGTCCCTTGGGAGCTGTCTGACTTATCCATTTAGTCCAAGTCTCCAGAACATACTGCAGTTTCTTGTGCTTATTGCGTTCATTCTCCCATCTTCTCATGACATCCAGATCGTCAGTCTCGTTCTCTGTACTAGTTTGTACAGGTTCCGTGTTGAATGTTCGTTATATTCTTCTGGACGTAATTTCGTACGTCCATATATTGCCTGCCTCCTGTGATTCAGTGCCTCACATTCGCATAAGATGTGTAGAGCTGTTTCCTGTAGATTCAGGAGTGTCTCCAATGCAGCTGTTGAGGTTAGTTCTCATTGCTCCCGTCATTCCCAAACATGCAAGTCTTTGCACCTTGCCTAGTTTGTAGATGGCGGTCGCCTGCTTCATCTTTGGCCACCAGACCAGAGATGCGTATGTTATCATGGGTTCAACCACCATAGTGTATAGCCAATATACCATGGCTGGTTTTAGCCCCCATGTTTTTCCATAGGTGCGTATAGCGAGCATCAGTGCTACCTCCGCTTTCCTCTTTATCCTGTCCAAGTGTTGGTTCCAGGTCAGTTTGGAATCTAGAATTACTCCCAGATATTCAACCTCCCCCGACACTTGAATTCCTTCACCTCGAAGTTTTAGAGGTCCCAGTCCCTCTGGCAGGGGAGTAGTTGTTTTCTGCTAAGTGTCACTCCATGAACCTACTGTGTAGGTAAGGGAAGACTAGCCTGAACGAATTTTTCCCCCCAGATGATTTGATTTATAGCCAATCTTCAACAATTCCCACTATCTTATAGGTGATATTAATTTCCTTATACGAGGATTTGGGTAATTCGCATGTACGGTTGTTCAGGACCTCGTCTACAGGCAGAAGGAACAATTGCAGATATGTTGCTTGTCGTTCGCTTCAGCTTTGTTCGAGGTATGGTACTCTGTAAGCATGTGTGCACGTTCCAGTCATTCAAAATTGATTACGGCACTTGCATAGCCAAAAGTATTTACAGGAATCACTTCTGTGAAGAATCCTGCACAGCCACCTGTCGGATATAATCCAACGCCGTTCGTGGTATTAGCCAGGGGAGTAGTTGTTTTCTGATAGGTGTCATTCCATAAACTTTCTCTGTTGGTAAGGGGAGACCGACCTGAATGAATTGTTTCTTCACATTGTTTGCTGTGGATGAAGCAGAACGAATGAGAAGTTGCATCAGTAATTTCAGAAGCAAAATAATATTTATATACAAGGTATTTCCTAACTACGGTACGAAACTTCAGAGGGTGATTCGTTAGGTCGTTTTTAGGAAAAGTTCCTATGAATAATGTCCGGAGGGGGGTTGAGTTTTAAAAGAAAACGGTATTTATGAATTATCATAAATATCCTCACACCGATTTGGTTATTTGAATTATTAAGATGCTTTAGCCCGATCTAGATTGTAATTTTCAGGTCCAGTGGCGTCTCAGTGGGCACCACAGCTAGCAATATTGCGGGAAAAAAAGCCACTCACTCATTCTGTAGTTTTTTGATTTTTTTAGATTGAGCAACTAATAATACAACTTTTTCGTCCTTAGAGTTTTCTTTATATGAAGCTTCGTTTCAGAGAGAAATAATCACATCTAAAAACTATCCATGGGCAACATAAAATAAAAACTAGAAGTGAATAATAAACAATTTCTACCTTGAAGTGAATGAGCATAATGTCCGCCTTCTGACAAAATACACGACTGCAATCGATTTGTCATTGATTGTCTAACACGTTAAAAAATACCTGGAGTATTCCTTATGACATTGCAATTGTCAAATATTCGATTCCCCAAGTCCATTCATATCCAGTACAGGAA